ACAAGCAGGCTAAACGGGACCATGACGGGAGCTGGAAACCCAGCGCGCGACCCAACAAGCGCGAGCGAACAGCAGGCCGGCGTTGATGTGGCGGCAATGGGATAGTCATGATTGTAAGCCCAATCATTAGGGAATATCCAAAGTGCAACGAGGGCATGGCAGCTGTCGACCAGGTTCCAGTTAGCACCCGAAGACAAGAACTTAAAAACACAATACAGAATGACCAATGCTTACCGTATTGATTACAGAACCGATTCTCAGTCCAGACGCTACCAGCACCATTGACGCCATGCACAGTATCGACAAAGCCATAGCTACGTCCTAGCTCTCCGTTGGGGCCTTTCACATTCTTGTCACTGAGGAGGCGAGGGGGCATGCAGGGCCAGAGAGTGAAGACCACGAAAGCGAGGAGATTGCAAACAGCGAGGGTACGGCGCCGGGCTTGATAAAGCAACGGGCCAGCAGGGGATCCTTTCGCAGCACCCAAGGGCTTTCCAATCTGCGATCCATCGACTCGGTTTCGCGTCGTGGTGTAGTAGTAGAGCCAAACGAGGAAGGCGATAGTGCCTGGAATGTGTATGAAGGAGTACACCCAGTTGATCACGGACATCAGCTGACTGTGACGAAGAAAAAACCGTTGAATTGAGACCTCCCAGAAGATGTGCAAGCTTTTCTCTATTTGGATGATCTGAAGAGCATGTTTCCTTGCTACATCAACGGTTCCTTCTTGCAGGGTGACCGCGGTGAATGCACGGCCCAGTTGATATGTCTAGAGTTTGACGTGTAAGCATATTGTTTTCCTTTTCATCCCTTCTCAAGCAGAAAAGAGACCTGTTGGCAATATAGAGAACCAGGACATACCCAGTAAACTAAGGCCCAATACCAGCACTCAACCAGAAACGGGAACTTCCGGAGCAAGCGACTGAGAAGACGGTCTTGGAAGACAGCAGTATCTGGTGATTTGACCTCGAAAGTGTATGAGAGGATCCGAACCTGGCGTTTGCGCCATCGAGGGTCGTCGAGTTGTACCAGTGTCGGTGACGGGGATCGCGAATTCAACAGAGCATCCTTTGCCGTTGGCGACGATAAGCCCGACTCCAGTGAGTCTGGAGAACAAGCACGTGTAGACGTGCTAGATCTACGAACTCTGCGCACAGAAGAGAAAGTTGCGGTAGACCGATTTATCCAAGTCCCTCCGAAGAGCAGGACAATTACGACCAGAGGCTCTAGGATAGCCCCAGCTCCCATGTTGACAAAGAGCCTTCGAGGCGAGACAGGAAATAGCCAGGGAGAAAATGAGGGTACTCAAGGAAGGGAAGGAGGATGTCGATACCAAGAAATGGAATCGCTAAAGATAAGAGTATGTAGGTAGGTAGGTAGGTAGGTCACACCCAGAAGAATCCAGGCACTGGGACACTAAATGCCACGAATTATAGGAAACTTGAAACTACTGTAGGACGGAGTTGTGCGCTGGAAACTTGGAAGAGAAGGACGACATCACTCACATAGGAAGAGCTAGACAGCTAGAGGCGCACGCGAGCATTAGCTAGGTAGATAGGCCAAGCAAGCGTGTTGAATACCTGGTTCCCTGGGGTTGACAAAGAAGACTGGTGAAACAATGAGTGAATAAGTACTCCTCAGTGAGACCTGAGAAAGAGAGATCAATGGTCACATCTTCTAGATTGTGACTTGGGAGGGGGGAATCCGGGTGGTAAGGGAGTTCCAAGCATCATGAATCAATGGATGAACTTCAAAGCATGACAAAACAACCCGCCTCCGTATTGGTAGCTTGGTCAATCAAGGCTGAGGAAGGCTCGGATGGGTCTACAGAGTACCATAACACTTGCCCCTCTTGGTTATTCGCACGCGGGCACCTTCCGAAAGCTCCAGTTTCTTTCAGCCCAAGGCGGAAAATCGTAGATCATTTTTAATTCTGCTAAGGTGCATACATGCTACAGAGTGTAATACAGAATATATCATAGCAATCCAGAGTAATTGAGAGTATCTATTCTTTTTTTACGAGTTTTTCTTCCTCTCTGAGCCCCTTGAGCCTTATAGAGGGAGCCATGTAAACACAAGAGAGCTGCCTAGGAACTATGGGAGGTCCGTGTACCAAGCAAGGAGTGGCAATGTACATCCGGAGCAACCGGGTATTAGGACCCATGCAACATCAGTGAGCATTTCAGGGAGCGTTCATAATATTTGTGCGCTAAGGGCCTTTTCAGTATGCAATGATGACTTAGTATCTACCTCTCTAGTATATACCAGGTCAACTAGGAGTTCCATGCTGTTTAATTATCAGTCATTATAGTCTACTCTTTTTGCTTTGCCATCATATATATCTACTGTCCTATCTAGTTCAAAATTCGATGTTTGTCACATTGTCAGTTAAAGTTTGCTGCCAAACACGAAAAATGCCAAGACAGTATGGAGGGCCAAGCGGATACCACCGAAAGCCCAAGGACAGCCCTATCAAAATCTGGGCCTCGGAGTCCGGAATACCTTACTCATGGAGTCATGGTCCCATCGTGTTGTGGGTTCCGTAGAATCTTGAATATTCTCGAAAATGAGTACATTTCTAATTCAGTAAATCTTGCGCTTCGCCTGAAAAATCTTTCTTTGTATTTGTGGCCTTTACTTCCAATCAGCTGTGGTAATCCGTACGGTCAAACAAGTCTATTCCTACCTAGCTTTGTCTTAAAGAGATTCGGCACTTGTGCCACGCGTGTCACATGAGCCTACGTAGGTTACAGTACTATGTACTCCGTTGGTAGAGAGCTATTAGTGATACAGTAAACTTGGCCCGTGCGGCGAGGCTGCAACCAATGGTAAGGTGTACATAATATTTATCCCTTCAGCTGGTCCATTATTAGTTATTCAGGTATCCTATAGATAGTTTGTCAGGCAAGCCACCGAGATTTATGCACAACCATATGACTGGAGGTCAACCATGATCATCATCACCGTTGTGTACTCCAGGCCTGCCATCCAGAAAAGGAAACCCAGTACAGGTCATACGTGCGAGAAAATTATTGGTATGCCTCTCTATCAGGATCAGTGATACCCCGCCTATAGGATAAGAGAGAGTTGGTCAAGAGACGCTATCAGCGCTCGAACTCTCCATACCTATATTTTGTCACCACAAAAATTATTCATTGACGGCACCGGAAAACGAACTTCACCGAGTCGGCACATCAGATATCCGACTTCCGAAACTATGTACTGTGTAGAAATCTAAGACTCGCCTTGGCTGGATGGAGCCCGTGGTATTGAATGAATCATTAGTCTATATTTGAAAAGACGCCCCTGTTGTTATCAAGATTACCTGGAAGATGGCACGTCTGCAGATAACCAGGAGACCAACAGCGTGGCTGCAGGGCTTCGAATTGTACATGAAGTTTCTAAGCTACAAACTATGTAGGTCAATCAGATATTGAATTTTTCTAACTCGACAGCCAATGTTGCCCTGATTAACTCAGTCGGTTAGAGTGTCAGACTTGTGAGTTCGGCCTTTCCACTAATCGATTGGAGCTACCATTGTCAGTTATGATGGCGATCTGAAACTTGCTAGCGGGTCTTTCTGCCTTCTTCTTTCTTCTTTTTTTAGAATTTCCTCTGCCCTTCGGGTATCGCATACATCTCCCATACAGGAGAATAGAGGATGAGGAGTGGAATAGGTGATAACTAACCTACAACACTATATCTGTGTTGCGTCATACTGAGGGTAATTCGGAGAGATCCAAGCGGAGTTGGTATCAATTTATATCTCGAACCACGGAGCATCAACAGAAGAGGGACTGAAGTGTTTCTCTCTCAGAGGGCCCAGGTCCTTCAAATGTAGCATATGCGGTAAAGCGATAGTATGCTACTTTTCAATGCATACGCAGACAAGAATGTAAATGTTGCGGGTACTCCCTTAAATCGGTACCGATGTCGACCATTCAATTCCATGCTGGCATCAGCATATCAGATTAGATAACTCACATCAACCCCACGCTCATCTTGCTTCATGTGGCAAGGGACAGTAGAGGATGCACGCTATTATGGCACAACAGCCAAGGATATGGGACCTCAATCGCGCGTCGATCGGTCTATAGGGGAGTCAAGCATGGAACCCCTTAGTCAAATACATCTATAAATACTCCTATTGTCACTGATAGTTGGAGTCTTATACTATTAGCATGGATGTTGTAACCTCTTGAGGAGTGAGCTGAAACAATGTATATCCAAGCTGGCTATCAATTCACGCATCTGGAGCACCAGTTGCCTTCAGAATAAATGACGTCACAGCCCTCAGGACTGTTCGCCATCTTGACTTCATGGTGCTATGCGAGGAGACCGAGAAGGACATAATATTCATTGTTTAGATATTCCGCGTTTGAGTTACATCTTTTTGACGTCAAACAACTCACCCCGCAACAACGGGAACTGCTTAGGGCCATACTACCCTTAATTAGCAGCAGCTATCCCGATTCATCATGCGAATGCCAAAACCCAAGGAAGATTCGAGCTGCCAAAGTATTAAGGTGAAATCTCAACATAGTCTCATCAAATTGTAAGCAGAAAAACGGAGATGATGCTGGCATCCACACCCCGCGTCGCTACGATCCCGAAATATATCGCTGGGCCAGTCCCGCGACAGAGATTCAGACTCGCCACAACTGGGTTATCAAGATATTTTGCGACATCATATCAGGCGCAAAAGCAACTGACATTGCTCCAAGACAAACATGGATTTGGATTTGCACGATCAAATCCTAGGCCTCCTAAGCCTAGAAGCAAAGGGGTCACAGAAATCAGAGGTCCATACTATACGGTATGCGCTTTCCGGAACGCAGACAAACCGGAGCGAGCATAGTGCAGTGCGAGAATTGCAGAGCTGATACATGCGGTGCCATTCCAGGTGATGGGGAAGCGATACTTAGCCGATGTTTTAGAAACGTAAGCATCGGAAAAGCCGCCAAGGGATTCCCAAGACAGGTATTGACGCTCCTCTCAGAATGGGCACCCATGTAGATGGTCTGAAATTTGCAGGAGGTACGTATCACCGAAGCGTACCCACCTGTTGAGCTCGGCTGATGGAGATCCAGGCTCTTTCTCTCTCTTCCAGGAGAAGCCCTTGAGAGAACTGATAGACCTCGCCCACGACTACGGTGTTTATGTTTCAACTGTAGGTTTTGTCCAATCGCAGAAACCAGGAATTAGCATCTAACCGAGGTTGACTGATCACAGGGGGGATGGGCCGAGCATCTTCTCACACATCCCGACGCCAATACTGTCTTTGATAAGTATCTCAAGAAATGCAAGGATCTCGGGTTCGTTTACGCTCGTCGAGACTCTGCATCTCGTACCATTTGTCAGATTCGAGACTAACACATTGAAAGATTCGATGTTATTGAACTCTCGTCTGGTTTCTTATCGTTCCCAGAAGATGACTGGCTCCGCCTGGTTGACAAGGTCCACGCGTACAAGCTGAAGGCAAAACCAGAGCTCGGCATTCAGTTTGGTGCTGGAGGTGATACACCTGCTTCTGGCCTTGAGGCTATTGGGACTTCCGACCCGGGAAAGCTCGTTAACATGGGGCGTAAATTCCTCGACGCGGGTGTCGAACGTCTAATGATCGAATCTGAGGGTATAACAGAAAACGTGCAGTCATGGCGGACTGACGTTGTGTCCACAATAATGAAGGAATTGCCGTCTGAGCGGGTCATGTTCGAGGCTGCAGATCCCAAGGTATTCAACTGGTATATAAGGGAGTTCGGCATCGATGTGAACTTGTTCGTCGACCATAGTCAGATTGTTCAACTGTCGTGCCTGCGACAGGGTATTTGGGGCACAGCTGACACTTGGGGTAAAGTAGTATCATTTCGGTCAGAATAAAAAGGCGAGGATCATATGGCATATCAATATGTATTAATAAACTACGCCATGGACGTTACTCGTCTTCACACGAGGCATCTGAAAATATGACGGGAAAACCTGGAAGATCGTGTTCCATATGGCAGCTAGCATCTGTATTGCTGTAGTTCTTCGATGAAAGTCCAAGGGATGTGCGATAGAATGACATATAAAAGAAATGATTGTATTTTTCAGACCTACGTTAGAGTCCAGATCCTCTCATTCATCCCGATTGAAAGGTCCTGCAAGGGTATCCCGAAGCACTTGATGATAACGCTGTCTAGCTGCTTGGTGACTTTCACTTTCACGGAAAGGCTCCTGCAAGCGGCAGTTTAGTAAGCAGCTGTCTCCGCAGTGCCAATCCCGGGGGATCGGATCGTCCTATACAATTCACCTCTTCTTCTTCTTTCCCGCGTAAGCATTCTGACTGTTGCACTAATTATGGGTTTGCCCACCGAGAAATGATTCCCCTGAGCACTTGATAGCCAGTCTGGGTCCTGGCACTCTTTCCGCTTTGCAATTCAACTTCTCAACGAGACAGACCCCGCGTCTTGGCACCGACCGACGTTCCATGCATCCATGAATATCCCGTGGCCCGACCACTTGCGCAAAGACGCTACAGTTTTAGGCCATGCCGAGGGCTAGTACAGCTCCTGGTGCGCGGCTCCGATGCCGGAGAGCTTGCGACAGCTGTAAACGGAGGAAGCAGAAATGTAACGGAGAACAGCCGTGTACGATTTGCATACAGCGTCGCAAAGAAGCGGAATGCAACTTCTCAGACAAACCGGCCCGGTTACTAAAGGCTAATGCTCCTAAGGAGACTATGCTTCTTAGCGAGCACATTGTGCCGACTCCGCAGAGGCAAACGGCCATGGATCGCTTACTGAACGCCCTCGAGGATCATAGCGCAGACTTGGAGCAACAGACAACGGATGACAAGGACGGGACGGCGCCTGTGCCCAAGGTCGCCAGGCTGCTTCGTGATGGGCAAGGAAAATTTATGTACATTGGAGACTCTGCGAGCTTGTCGTTTCTGCAAAGTGTACGTCGTATCGTCTCTTTGTCAATCGGGCGATGCGAGTTCACAGAGGATACGTCACGGCACTCCATGCTTGAGGCTTTTCAGAGTAGTTCTGCTACCCAAACAGGACCATTATCTGCGCCACCGAGTAATGACGAGGCGCAACGGCTCGCTCGCCAATATGTCCTTGCTACCAGTCCACTACTGGAACTATTCGATCTCGAGGAGTTCTATCCGCGGCTCGCCAACTGGGTTGGGAATCCGACTGGCGATGAAGATACTGTCAGCTCGATCTTCTACCTTGTTCTCGCCATTGGAGTTCAGGTTTCGGAGGTCAATCAGGATCTTGCCGAACAGTACTTCGTCAGTGGCCGCCAGCTCGCATTCTCTGCTTTCACCGAAACCCCCAGCATATACACGATCCAATCTTACGTCTTGATCTCAATGTATATGCTTGGCGCGTGTCGTCGCAATGGCGCGTTCATGAACCTGGGAATCGCTTTACGGGCCGCATATGCCGTTGGCATTCATCGAAGGGATGCGAATGCCCTGTTCTGCACTCGGGAGCGTCGGGCCCGGGAGCGGGTTTGGAAAAGCTTACGGATGATGGACCTGTTCCTGAGCGCTTCCTTAGGACGTCCTCCGGCGACCTCGGATTTTGATTATGATGTACGTGATCAGGCGACACTTGCAGGGGAGCAACAGCGACCCCAACCCGAAGCGCAGTTATCCCAATGCGTGGTTGCATTATGCCGTATCTTTGATCGCATCCTAACTGAAGTCTACATGAGACAAGTTGTCTCGATCAATGTTGCGGAAACGATCTCAAATCAGCACCGCGCTTGGGTCCGGTACCTGCCAACCTTTCTCAGTGGCCAGACGGAGCGGTTGAGCTCAAAGAATCTTGAGAGTATGCTGGCTGCGGCTCATGTATTCGGCGCATATTACTGGTCAATCATCCTGTTAACTCGGCCTTTTTTCATATTTCGTGTGTCTCAATACGTCAGAAGTAAGAGTGATCCGGGTATCAGCTCCAACGATCCGAGAGCCAGCGCCTCTCGCATCGCTCTTTTCTCTGACGCTTGTGTTTACTCTGCTCTACGCTGTCTCAATATCGTGGACGATCTGTCTCGGTTCGAAGCTCTACCTCGGAGACTACCTTTTCTGATTAATTCAGTATTCAACTCAGCAGTCGTGCTGGGAGCCGCGTTCTTTGCTGAGTATGACAATCTTCTCCCACTTGAGGAAGGTATGGACAAGTCCGAAAAGTTCCTGGGACTATTTGTGCCGCATGACCCGCACGCCTGTCGTTTTTACCAGATCATCAAATACCTGCGAGGCGCGGTGGCCGAATATGTTCGCCGTCGAAACCGTCAGTGGATGGAACGCCGCAGCAAACAGGTCGACCAGCTGTTTGGCCAAGTAGGGCTTAGAAGCGAACCATCAGCGTCCAACGACAACGTGGCTATAAGCCGCAGTGGCGAGCAGTTAGCTCCGTCTCCCTTATCTCCCGAAAAGCTCGCTACAGGCTCGCTTTCAGCGCAAGGGGCCCAACCCACAGCCTCCACAGGTGAATCAGAGAATGACATTTGGAATACCCTGTGTGGTACTCAAGGAGCGACTGCGCTGCCGTACGATAGTACTATATCCACGCTGACAACAACGGGAATACCCATTGGTTGTTCACCGGGAGGAACCCTCACGACCGCTCAGCCGGGAATGGGAACAGATGCCGGAGGGCAAACTCCCTTGTCCGATGTACTATTCTCGGAGAACGGCCTTCTCTACATGGCAGAGGATCTCTCCGTTTTTGGCCTCTGGGGAGAGACTTGATGATAAGCTGCCCTTGGCCAGTCAATGCGAAGGCATCAAGCCCCCGTCCTTCGGAGTTAAACTGCTATATGTTTTCCTGCCACGCCGATGACTGGTCCATTTCTCATGACTCTGTATGATACGAACATAGCTTGCGCATCCTTCACTTACCTCTTTGTCCACGTGTTTCTTTGTCTTATTTCGCCATGTCTGGGAGAATATCTATCTACTCTGAGAAATACCCTGGTTGCGTTGTTTTGCGTCTGAATGGAGTTCGCTCGGCTATGTCTCCAATCATCATCAAAGCATTCTTTAGATAGCATCTCCATGCTTTCGAATCGCATTTATTGGTTACTGCCAGGTGGTAGTGGATCGTACGATTGTAACAATGTATCATGTACCTGGAGAATGGTATCACTTCAAGATAGTCAAATAATATTTTACGCTCTAGTGGAAATCAAATATTGATTCCATTGTGTTCGTTCCTTTTCCTTCGTTCGCATCCTTGAATCGTTTCGTTATCATCAGTGGATGACCTATGAAGTCCTTATCCACGTGTCGATAAGGACAGAATGCGGATCTCCGCCGATGATGGCAGATCAATGATGTTGTTTACAGCTGTCATGTTCTGAAGCTACAACTGCTAATGACATACCTCTGCATTCTGAAATCTGATTTCTATATGCTGCTGTAATCATGAGAACGAATTGCTGCCCTTCACTTCATTGACCCCGGCACCCCAAACTGAAGGCAGTAACCTTACGAGCTTCCCCCCGGAACTTCTAGCAGTGAGGGAACTCCTTGTCTGTCATCACGATCCATTGGTACCTAGTTACTGCTATCAGTCTAAAACACGAAGACATGGTTCGACGTATACGGACTCTTACCCCATTGCTGGTGCTGGCCTGTGCCGGTTCCGGCACATGGGCCAGCAAGAAGGCGTTCAACATACAGGATGATCTACTTGCATATCCCCAAGTATGCCACACGTGCTTCGTTTTTTGGTTGAATGAACGGGCAACTGTGCTAATGGTTTCTGCTTGTAGTTCCAAGTCTTCTTCCCTGATGAATACATTCTTGATACGCGGGCAAGGGAGTTATTACAGAATCAACAAGAGAGTTCTTCGACTTCCGCTGACAAGACATTCGCCGAAGGTAATGATGCGCAAGTATATCTGGGAAGCCGAAAAGATAAATCTGAAGACGACAATAAAGAGGCGATAGAAGGACCTAGGTTCACATACGAGGAGATGCTCCTTGAGGGACAGCGATATCTCTGTTCCATTCCGCAAGTCGACAACGAAGACAAGAACCAGACGAACGGAGCGGAAAGCACCAGTAAAGAGGATGAGCAGCGAGAAATCGCACGCGCGACGGACCGTGGTCTGGAGCTTCTGCGCGAGATGGAAGGCAAATGCATGTACTACATATCCGGATGGTGGTCATACTCATTCTGCTACAAGAAGCAAATCAAGCAGTTTCATGCACTACCGTCCGGCCCGGGCGTGCCCAACTACCCGCCGATAGAAGACTCTGCGACCCATTCTTTCGTGCTGGGCAGGTTTCCCAACAGCGGCGACGACGAGGATTTGGAGGGGGATGCGGAGCACAAAAAGACAACTACAGATGTCGCCGAGCTCCAGACTAAAGGCGGGTCGCGGTACTTAGTGCAGCGGCTGGGGGGCGGAACCAAGTGCGACTTGACAGGCAAAGACCGGAAGATCGAAGTGCAGTTCCACTGCCATCCGCAATCTACAGATCGGATCGGTTGGATCAAGGAACTTACTACTTGCTCATATCTGATGGTGATCTACACTCCGCGGTTGTGCAATGATGTCGCATTTCTGCCGCCTCAGCAGGACGAGGCGCACGCGATCGAATGCCGCGAGATTATCTCCGAGGAAGAGGTTTCCGACTGGGAAGCAAGCCGGGAATATCATTTGGCTCAACAGCTCGTCGAATCTGCGATTACATCCGAGTTTCCTGTTGTCGGGGATATCGAGGTCGGGGCGCACAAGTGGGTGGGATCGGAGGGCAAGCAGATTGAGAAGGGTCGAGTGGCATCCATTGGAGAAGAGAAGATCGAGGTAGTTGCCAAGCGCCAAAATGGAGAGATCACTAGGTTGTCCAAGGAGGAGTTGAAGAAATA